TTAATGGGTTCTTTACGTGAAGGTTCACATAGGTTTACACATAAATCAGACGGTTACTAGGTAACAATTCTCCGAAATTAAATTACAACCTACGGTTGGGATGTAAACAGTTGGGGTGAAAAACGCGTGATCAAAGAGATTGGAATAGGTTTTGCGAAGTGTGTATGAGAAAGCTCATTTCCAATGGTCAAATATTTATGACAAGGCACAGAGGCTGCAACGGGCACGGTTTATAACCCATTCATTGAGCTGGTTAGTTATTACATGCGGGTAGAACTTGCAGTGTTCCAGTTTGTAAGATTGGTCCACTGTTTATCCGAACTAAATCGGCGTAGAAACTAAATGCTAAGCATTTGAAGGCGCTAAATGCTGGCTCGTAACGCAAACAAAACCGAACATATAAAATATATGCTTGTCTTTCTTTAAAGCATAATGTTATCCCAACATGGTCACTGGCAAGCTGGATTCCTATAGAATTAATTCCATAGTTCTTCAGCTAGTGACTCATCAACCTAAAATTTATATATCATTGAGAATTGTGAAAATCGTTATAATGGTCTAGGGGCACCATTAATTATTAGTGGCTGGGCTCATCGCAAAGGCTATCGGTTTAAGTACTTAGACAAAACTTGCTCTTATTAAGATGTACAGAAATATTGTTGACAATAGCACGAAAACTGTTTGTGACTGTGAGTCCTAAGACATGTACAACAATTGCTTTGTATGGGCGACGAAGTTACTTAATAACTTCAAGATTTGGGTTCTAATACTGAAAATTTCCCTCGTACCATCAAATTGCCGATGTGATTTGATCGGAGATAACCTAAGAACAAACTGTGAGCCAAAATGTTTACAGTTACTGTACAGTGAATCGTTAAACAACAGCATGTGTAGAGGCCAACCCTTGCTGTGGTTTGCCGGAACAGTATATGGCTACTGGGGCCCAAGTACCCACCATTAGCCCATGTTCAACACATCTCAATTTGAGCGTGGCATTTACAAAACTGTCCAAGACGCATTTAGTGACTTGCTTCTACATTATTCTCTGATCATGTGAGATGTGAGGGATCTTCGATTTAGATCGGA